ATTTATAAGTTTATAAAATATTATAAATGTATAAGATCATATGATATTTGCATACAAATTACTTTTATATATTTATAAAATTTTCGTTTATCTTTAGTTTTTTAATTTTGTCAACAATACATAATTTGCTCCCGAGTGTCACCTTATTACCCTGTTGGGGTCCGACACTCGGGTATTACCCTGTTGGGGTCTTTGTGTTGTGTTGTTTGTGTTTTTTGTGTTTTTATTACCCTTTTGAGGTCGTGGTCGAGTAGTTGGTCTATTTAGTTCGAGTTTTATTCTGGCGTTGCTAGCGGGATTCTAAGCGGGCTTCTGACCTGTCCTCCCATTTTATTCTCCCGTTGGGAGCTTTGTATTTTTATTCGCACTTTGTGCGCTTTTGATTTATAATAGTACCTCTATCGTTCCGGGAAAAAAAAAACAATACATAATTTGCACATTGTTTGATAATTGATTATCGTTTAACCCATACTATTTATCGTTCGCTACATGTTTTAAGTTCATTAAATGCTGAAAACTTTGATAAATAAATTTTAACTTTAAGTAACTTTAATCCTTATGCAACATACAAATTTTTTATGGTTAAATATTTATTTTTATGTTTTTATTTTATATTTATATTTATTCCTTTAATTTTTTTTTTTCAACCTATATAATGAGTTATATAATATCCATTCGAATATTTAGATATATTATATATTTCATGATTATCAAGTGCTATAAGTTAAATTATTATACAATTTAAATTTTTATACATTGTTTTTTTATTAACGTATTTTTTCATTTATAAAATAGTATATAAGGAAAAAATATATATTTTTACAAATTGAATAATTTTATATTGCACATAGATACTTCTAAGGTAAAATTTATAATTCTGAATTGCACCCGACCGTCAAATTTTATTTTATTAGTATATTATTTAAATTTCAATAGTTTTATCACTACATATGATATATTCAATGAGCATGTACCTTTATATAGTTAAATTGACTATACATTTTAGAAACTTTTATTAATAATTTTATATTATTTATTAATTAGTTATTCTGATTTCAACATAGTTCTTTTGATTATTTTATTAAATAATTTGAGTACTTCTGAATAGTGAATATAATTTATTAGATTAATACCTACAACCATAAATGATAATATATTTAATCAAATCAATTTTCATAATATTTTTTTTAAGTGTGCAAATAAATTACTACTAAATTAATATAAGATCTTATTAAAAATATATCTAATAAATCTACGTTCAAAATTTCGATTTAGCCAATTTATAGTTAATGAGTAACATTCATTGAGTGTATAAAAAATAATTATGTTTTTCATGCATAAGATTTGCTAATAAATAAATATTAATTAAATGCCAATTTTAGAAGAAAATTGTTCCCAACCAAAATTATGCCAATTATGAAAATAAGGATTTGTCCATTATATAGATATAGATTATTGGAACATATATGTTGAATAAAATCTTTGCAAACAAAGATAATTATTATATGCGTGTATATGTTTCTATAATTTAGGAATAATTATCATATATTAAATATAGTAATCCCTATATTAAAATCTTTGCTATAATTATCAGATGCATACGGAAAGATGGCCAACAAAATCTTTGCTATAATTATTCCCTATAATTATTTCGTCAAGTGGATCAATAAATCAATAAAAATTCAATATATTAAAGCTATTGGTATATAATAAATATTTCCAATTTTAGCCGAAAAAGTTTGAGCGGGAAAAATTCGTTCATTTTTGGCAAAATGGATTCGTCCATTATATAGATATAGATTTATCTTAAATTTTAAATATTATATAAATGAAGAATCATGCAATCCATCAATTAAAATGGCGGGACAATATCAGAGTCAGTCAAAAAAATAAATGAAAATTAATCAGTTATTCTTTAAAACTGAGCAATCACTTGGCAATTAAATTATACAATCAATGACCATTTTTTAAAACATTATAAATAGCTGAAAAAATAAGAACCAAAACCACATTCAGCAAAAAATACTATTCAGCAGGAAAAAAAATTTCAGTCAAATTCTCATTTCAAATGGCTTTTAAGTTTGATAATATTGAGGTTGATTCGTCATTATTCAACAAGATCTTTGATAAAATTAAAATAAAAAAAAAACATCAAAATGGCGGATTGGAGTACGTATTTCACGATGTCAAGGTATAAAAATCTTTTCAGTCTTTTTTAACACGTACTATTTCAATATCCATTTTTTATAATATTATTTTTTTTATCGTGTAGGGTCAGCGAATTCATCCAAAATTATTTGCCATAGAAAATATATACAACAAAAATGATTCTAAAACTTTATCCACAAAATAATACAAAAAGCATATAAATATATCAAACCAATAAACAAACAATTCACATCGAGATCAATAGCTTCTCCTTTCATGAATTAAAAGCATGTCTACGACGGCTAAACAAAATATGAATCGATCCGAGTGTTTTTCTCAGATGAGAGAAAAAAAATTAAAAGTGAAGAAGAAACGGCGAAAATGTTGCGAAAATGTTGCACGTAGTGGCCACAAATAAAGAGGCCTTTTGCCCTTTGGACAAGGAGCATTCAAAGGAAGAAGGAGAGAAAATACACAAAAGAAGGAGCAAAGTTTGTGGAGAGGAGGCGAAGACCGTTAATTGTGTGATAACCAACTCAACACCAAAAGCTCAAAGTATAAAAAGGCCTCGCCCTAAGGTGATGGCAAACAACAAGTAACAAATAAATAAAAGCAAAGATTCAAAGTGAAAAGCGTGTAAGTTAAGAGCCTCGGTTCCCTCAAGTGGAGAGAGCAGAGTGGAAAAGCCATGGCATCCCGCAAAATGATGTTTGTGGCAATGTTGCTCTGCCTCTCCATGCGGGCTCTAGCGGAGGATCCCTACCTCTTCTTCGAGTGGAACGTCACGTACGGGAACATCTCCCCCCTCGGCATCCCCCAGCAGGGTATCCTCATCAACGGCCAGTTCCCTGGCCCTAAGATCAACTGCACCTCCAACAACAACATTGTCGTCAACGTGTTCAACCACCTGGACGAGCCCTTCCTCCTCACGTGGGCCGGCATCCAGCACCGAAAGAACT